CTCTCTCTCTCTCTCTCTCTCTCTCTCTCTCTCTCTCTCTCTCTCTCTCTCTCTCTCTCTCTCTCTCTCTGTGAGAGAGGGTGCGTTGCGCTTGGGGAAAGACGCGCCCGTGCTCTCTCTCTCTCTCTCTCTCTCTCTCTCTCTCTCTCTCTGTGAGAGGAATGATACGGAACATTACAATGGATGTGGACGCATCATGAACCCATAGGGGAATGTATGAATGTGCACAAGCGCACGTGTGTTGCAAGTCCACATTGCAGACAGACTTGACGAATCGTGCACAAATGGAGTGGGGTTCTTTGATGCTTCTTCTATGCGACACAAAGGACGGATGTGTGGGCACTGCCCACTCAACCGCACACAGACTTGAGGGAAGGTTTTTTTTTTTTTTTCGACCGTCGGAAATGGTGTTCTGAATAGTGATTGATTGAATCATGTGAATGCACTGAATGGTATACAAAGGGTGCGCAAACCTCTTCTCCGAAGCAAATACAGTAAAGAATCTTGCCATCCCTCTACATTCCGAATCGGTGATTCCTTTTGATAACTATTTGGGCTATTGTGAAGATAAAGCGGCCTCTTACAATATCGGTCGCTTTATCCGGCGCGAAGCACCCTTGTTAACATGCACATAACACACCTGCCAGGGAACTTCACACTTCTTATGATTTGCTCTGCCCCATCTGTGTGGTCCTGAAATTGAGTTGCTTGTGTGGTGATCTTCTGACAATACACCTTCTTCTCCGCCGCACCGACGTGGGACCTTGCATTTTCTTTTATGTAGCTGTATAACTGGTTTGCTTTGTTTTTTTTGGAGATGCACAACTTTGCTTTGTACTTTTTGGAGTTGGCGGATTGCTGACAATCGCATGATGGTTCCGTTGTGCTCGTATCTATCATATTATAGTATGGAATGTGGGTTCTATTTTGGTGATCAGTTGATGGCCACGTCCCTGTCTTGCTAGCTCTCCAGCTCAGGGGATTGAGCAGCTACGGCCGGAGGTGTACTTGCTGGCGGTTATTTCTTCACTTTTCTGTCTGGGTGTAATTATAATATGATTGGTTTATTCTTTTGCGCTGAGTTTCAAACAGTCCTTTCCTCCAAGGGCCCGGACTCATACCAGGGCACCGTTCCTGTTTGGTTGGACCATGTGACCAGCTTGGTTGGCGTCTGTTTTGTGATTGGCAGTGCTGCAGGATGAAACTCTTGTGAGCAGACTCTGAGAGTTTCCATGCTGTGGGTGTGATTCGCAGAGGCTATACCTATTGTCGGAGCAAGTAGAGAGGGGAAGGGCTTTGTGCGTTGGGGAAGCCGCGCCTATGGTGTCGCGTGAGGGGTCCAGAGCCTTAGGCAAGTTAGGGATTCATGTCGTTGCCTGTCACTACACGACCACGTTTTTGTTTAACAGGATGTGTGACCAGCTTGGTTGTTCTCACAACTTGTCAGCATGTTGGTAGTGTTGCAGGGTGAGTCTCTGGTGGGTGACGCAGAAAGCTTTCATACTGTAGGTGCTATTCCCACTGCTGTACCCGTTGTAGGAGCACAAATGAAGGAGAGGCTGTGCAGTCTGGGTGCAATTCCCACAGCTGTGCCCGCCGTCGGCAGATTTACAGCGCTGCAGGGTGACACTCTTGTGATAGACTTAGAAAGTTTTCACGCGGTAGGTGCAATTCCCACAGCTGTACCCGTTAGAGCAGCGCACAACGGGGGGCTGTGTACTGTGTATTGTAGTAGATGTGGTTCCCAGCAGTTGTAGTGCCGCATGAGGAGTCATCGGCATTAGGCAAGCTAGTGATTCATGCTTTGTCCGTCCTGGCCTGGACGATGTGTTTTTGGGGAATGGCCTCATGGTGCATGTCTTGTGAGTTTTTCTTGTTGTAGGCTGTACAGAGAGCGGCTTAGGTGGTTCCAATGAGTGGTTCCACAGCATTAGGCAAGCTGTGGATTTTGTGTTCTAGCCTGAGTGAACCGAGAGTTGTCGCTGCTTCCCATAGGCTGTACCTATTGTCGGAGTGTATGTTGGATGAGGTGTTCTGCAGCTCTAGCCAAGCTGTGGATCCGTGTTGGCGCCTGCCAATACAGCTTTTCTTTTAGATTGCAACGAATGTGTGCGAAGCGGCTGGGTGTGTGGGCACTTCCTCCTCTACCCACATAGATGCGGAAACCTAGCACTTCGCTTTTTGGAGTTGGTAGCGTGTACAATATTGACAATGGCAATTTGCTTCACTGCTTCCCGTAGGCTGTGCCTGTTGTCTGGGCATATAGAGAAGAGTTTGTGTGCTCCGGGAAGAAGTGCTTCTGATGTTGCGTGAGGGGTTCTGCAGCCTTAGGCAGGCTGTGGATCTTTGTTGTCGCATGCAAGTCGGTACACATTTTCTGTTAGAGTGCAAGAGGTGTGCGCTGAGCTGCTGAGTGTGTGGGCACGTCCTGCCCAACCACACAGATGCGGAGCCTTGCACTTTGTTTTGTGGAGTTGGTAGCTCGTAGAGAATTTTGACAATGGCATGATACTACTTCGCTTTATTGTTTTACAGAATTGCGATTTTTATTTTGGCGGTTTGAGGATGCACATTGCACACACACATGCATGCATGCATGGGTGGGCTCACACTATTCTGAAGTTGCTGTTCCCATTGGATGACAATTGCATGCATGATACCCATATGTATGTTTTATCGATTTATGAAGTGGGTTGTATTTTTTGGGAGATTGTTGACAATACGCGCACATATGCATGCATGCATGCATGGATTGTCCCACCGTCCCACACATTTTGGACATTGCTGTTTCTGTGCCTGGCTTGCATGATGCAAGTGTGCTTTGATGTTCTGAACTTTTTATGGAATTGGTTCTATGTTTTTTGGTGATTATTTAACATTGCACACACACATGCATACATGGATGGATGGATGGATGGATGGATGGATGGATATTACTCTTCCTGTGGCTGGCTTGGCTCAGTATGTTTGCGGTGCTTGTATCGATGGATGGGATGGTGGCAGTCCGATTATGAGTGCGGAGGTGGTTGTCTTCTTGGCTTAATGCAGGGGTGCTGATTTTAATTTGGAAGTGAGCACAAGTTTGCTAGAGGTAAATGGGGACGCATTTCCATTTTCCTTTCTAGAATGATAAACATGAGAGTGTGTGTGAGGGATGATTGGTGTTTGTGTTTGCGCGTGAAATCGTTGTGAGCAGAGTCAGAGAGTGCCTGCTGCCAGTGTGGCTCTCCCACGCCTGCTTCAGGTCCTAGTGCTTTTGGTGTCACATGACGGGTTTTTATGGCTGCGGCTGGGGGGATTTTGTTTCGGGTTGTGTCATTGCTTGATGTCACATAGTGTTTGTAGGCCGCATGTGAGAGTGTGT